TCCGGCGAAATTGACGGCGGGCACCAACTCCAATGCGGTCGTGGCATCCGGGCGACCTCCAAGGACCCCTCAATTGCAAGATTTGATGAAGATTTGCAAAACCCCCAATTTTGGATCCAATTTCGAATTTTAGGGTTTTTTCGAGTAGAAAAATTCAGATTCGAGAAGTTACAGGCCAAATTAGACAAAATGGTTTGGATATTATTGATCCTCGTCTCAAGACGAAGAGAATGACATTGGTCCCGCCGGAATCGGAAAAAGTTCATTTTCCGGCGACTTTGACCGGCGGGCGGCGGCGGCGGGGCGTGGAAGAAAAGAAAAGAAGAAATGGGGTCAAATTGAAAATTTTAAAATATATAAAATTCGAATTTGGCCCTAATGACCGGAAGTTAACCTAGAAACGGGCTAATGGCTCATTAGTGAAAGGATTGTGTAAGTTCAGAGATTTTTGTGAAAGGATTTGAAGTTCAGGTACTACTTCGAAATTCCAGCTAAAGTTCAGGTACCATTTGTGAAATTTACCCTTTTACTTTGTGTCAAGTGTGGTTTTCAAACGCAAACGCCTCTCGAGCGACCTTATACCGCAGGTAGATGTTCAAGCGAGGCGTTGTCCACTTTTCTCGCTCGAGTTACTCACTTTTTTGCCTTTCTCGCCTGAGTTGTTTGCCATTTTGGTATTATATATCAATCATGCCAATATATAATACCAAAAAGTGTTATAAAATGTTCATATGCAATCTAATTATTACTGCGCAAACTCAAGTATTTTATAAATAAAAACATAAAGTTCATATTTTGATACTTTCTATATCTTTTTTTGCACAAATCACAAATTTCATTTCACTTCAAACTATTCAGAATTTACAGGCTTTTCAGATTACTACATCACTCTCTTGTAGTTAAAATATCTACTAAGATAAAAGTAAATATACTCAACAGTTTCTTCTTCCGTACAGTTTTTCAGATGGCAAATTCTATTTCTCATCCTCCATATCCCATATACACAACCAGCCCAAATTGCCTTAATTTGCTGCTTATTCCTCCTCGAACCTGCTGCTTGTATTTTGTTCTCCAAGTCCCGGTAGCTGGTCATTACTACCTGCTGATGGTAAAACCTCGAGAAGCATGTTTGCGAGATTCTTTGAGCTATTCCACACTCCCACATCAGGTGTCTATTTGTTTCCTTATATTGGCCACATAAAGCACAATCCTGGTCGATATTAAGAAATCTGGCTAATCTCTCCTTTGTTTGTAATCTCCCCTTCATCAACAACCATGTCACAAACTGCATTTTGGGAGGGGTTATGGCATTCCAGACTGTATCTTTCCAATTTGGTATCATTCGTGTCCCTTGTAGCCAGTCATATCCTTCCCTCACAGTATACTCTTTACCCTTGGGCATTCCCCTAAAATTCTCTCTGACTCTCACCATCTCTTTCCAGTAATGGCAGGCATCCAGTTTAGGCGTGTAATCCCAAAACTCTTCTTCTTTGATGTACCTGCTGTAACACCCTAATTCGTCCAGGTCTGCAGCCCCTTTGGGACTAAAGTATTTAACTTGGTAATCATAAAAATTTAAAACTTTTCAAACACTTTTATTTATCACAATAATATTTTTCATAACACATACAGTACGGAGTATTCAACAATATTGCGGAAGCGAATTTAATTTTGACATATCATAAATCATTTCAAACTTGTCACATCCATCCCGAAAATCTCGCCCCATCTGCCGCCAGGATCACATTAATCTTTCTGTTTACCTGCATGTAGCAAATAAAACACACTACACGCTCAGCGGTAAAGCTGAGTAAGCATATCTAATGCGTCGAACATCCATATAAACTAAATCTAAATTCATAATCAAATCTTTTGATATCATGCACACAATGTTCGTTTCAGACATTCACAGTTTTGATATTATTCAATTCATATCAACACATTTTATTCAATTCAGATACTATTTTAATAGTGCTCTTAAATTATTCTTAATCTAAGGCCAGATCATAACAACGCTCTTAGCTATTCTTAGTCTAAGGCCAGATCATAATAATGCTCTTAGCTATTCTTAGTCTAAGGCCAAATCATAATAATGCTCTTAGCTATTCTTAGTCTAAGGCCAAATCATAACTTCCATAACCAGATTCTTTTAAGACAATTATTGATCAGACACTTAAACTATCATAAGTTTAAGGAAATTGATTTCGGACACTTAACTGTAGTCAGTTAAGGCAATCAGACACTTAAACTATCATTAGTTTAAGGCAAATGATTTCGGACACTTAACTGTAGTCAGTTAAGGCAACAACAATATAGCGATTGATCAACATTGGATCGGGCATTTCCAAACGAGTGATCCTCTAGCTTGGTCTACGAATCCCGTTTATACATTTTTATCTAATTCATTGAATATTCATGTTTCACAAATCCATACTAATATGAGATCTATTCTAGAGGTCTTCTAGATAGCCTTAACATCAATTTTCTAAATGTGTTTACCTTAGAGTTCTTCTAGATATCCTTAACACTACAAATCATTTCATAGTTATAAATGTATTCATTTTATTCATGATTCAATCATAAATACTTATTTTAATCAGTAGGTTCAATACTCATAATCATCCATAATATTCATTTATCATAATCATCAATTAACACAACAATTGATAATAAATAGCGGCCTAGCTTCGAGTGTTAACACCCGAACTTACCGTCATGCAACACATAACATTTTTAGTTGTTAAAAACATCATTTTTATTATGGTAAATCATTTTTATAATGGTCATAATCCATTGGTATCAAAAATAGGATTTTAGAGCTCAAAAATAGCAATTTCNTTATAAATGTATTCATTTTATTCATGATTCAATCATAAATACTTATTTTAATCAGTAGGTTCAATACTCATAATCATCCATAATATTCATTTATCATAATCATCAATTAACACAACAATTGATAATAAATAGCGGCCTAGCTTCGAGTGTTAACACCCGAACTTACCGTCATGCAACACATAACATTTTTAGTTGTTAAAAACATCATTTTTATTATGGTAAATCATTTTTATAATGGTCATAATCCATTGGTATCAAAAATAGGATTTTAGAGCTCAAAAATAGCAATTTTAGACAAATTTTCGGATCAGAACTTCGGGGGATCGATCCAGCCCTCCGGATCGATCCATACTATGAAAAATTACTCCCAGGGGATCGATCCAAGCCCCTGGATCGATCCAGACAGTGGTGTTTCAGCCACTGTTCATCATCATCTTCGTTCGGGTCCAATTTCGGAAATACTGTTTTTAGTTATCGAACTTCAACGAAACTAGATAGAGATGTTCTCCAAGGTTCATAGATCATTTTGACATCATTAATTCATAGTTTTAACATCAATTTCATGGTTTATGATTCTTGGTTCTTCAAGCATGTCAAACACAAAACTCAACCAAACGACCGTTTATGAACGTAGAAACGATCTATATGAACATTCTAATCACTAGATATATCTACGAGCTTACCTCGAAGGTAAATGAAGGTTTTGAATATTTTCCAGCGAAACTTCCGGCGAACACCACGTCTTGCTCCGGCGACCTCTCACCAAATTGACAGCACCACTGCGTTCTCCTTACTTTGAGCAACTATAACACCCTAATCCGTTCAGGTCTGCAGCCCCTTTCGGACTAAAGTATTGATTTGGTAATCGTGATAATTCAAAACATTTCAAACATTTTTATTTATAAATAATATTATATACATAATTGTAAAGAAATACGGAGTGTTTAAATAAAATGCAGAAGCGACTTTAAAATATGTCTCATAACAACATAATTATTTATTTCATTCAATAATCTACCACGACTGTCTCGCCCCCTTCTGCTGCCAGGAATCAGTCAATCATTCATTCTGCCTCCCTGCGTGTAGCAAATAAAACACACTACACGCTCAGCGGTGAAGCTGAGTAAGCATATCTAAAGCGTCGAACATTCACATAAATTGAATTTCAATTCATAATTAACCATTTGATATCATGCACACAATATATAATTCAAACATTCATGATATTCTCAATATTTTATTCTAAGTCATTTGATATTCAATATCTCAACAATGCTCTCAAATTATTCTTAATCTAAGGCCAAATCATTTTATAACAACTCTTAACTATTCCTAATATAAGGCAACATTTCTAACCAGACCCTTAAACTATAAATAGTTTAATGCAGAACACAAGAACCGATAATCCACCCTATGAGTCATGTGGATTACGTACCAACCGAACAGTGAACTGCCGGGTGGGTGATATCCGTTCTGGATCCCGTACGTACGTTTTAACCCCGAAATATGAATTGGTCAAGAAAGTATATCTTAGAGTTCTTCTAGATATCCTTAATAATCATCATCATTATACAAGTGTGTATATCTTAGAGTTCTTCTAGATATCCTTAACAATATACATCATTTTCATAATCATCATTATATCCATTTTTAATCATGATTTAATAAATAATCATACTAATCAGTAGGTTAATCATTCATAATTGGCCACAATAATAGTTCATCATAATGATCATTCAACATAACATTTAATAACAATTAGCGGCCTAGTCTTGAGTGTTAACACCCGAACTTACCGTCATGCATCACATTATGTTTTAATTTGTTAAAAACATCATTTTTGTTGTGAAAAATCATTTTTATAATAATTATAATCAATTGGTATCAAAAATAGGATTTTAGAGCTCAAAAATAGCAATTTCAGACAAATTTTCGGACCAGAGTTTCGGAGGATTGATCCAGCCCTCTGGATCGATCCAACTAGAAGAAAAACTCCCAGAGGATCGATCCAATGAAGGGGATCGATCCACTCTGTGGATTTTCAGCCACTGTTCATTCATCTTCAACCTCGGTCCATTTTTCGGGAAAACCATTTTTAGTCACCGAACTTTAATTAAACTATATAGAGATGTTCTCCAAGGTTCATAGATCATATTAGAATTATTAAAACATATTTTTAACATTAAATTCAAGGTTTATGATTCTTGGTTCTTCAAACATGTCAAACACAAAACTCAACCAAATGACCATTTATGAACGTAGAAACGACATATATGAACATTCTAGTCATTAGATATATCTAGGGGCTTACCTTGAAGCGTAAGGGAGGTTTTGAAGATTTTCCGGCGAAACTTCCGGCGACTCTATCTCACTGCTCCGGCGACCTCACACAAAGATGACAGCACAACTGCACTCTACTCTCAGCAAGGAACAATATAGGAGGAAGAATGAATGTTTTTGGTGAGGAATTGAGGGAGTTGAGTTGTGCTTAAATAGGCCAGTGGAGAAGAAGAAGACACAGGCTTGGTTGCTTCCGTGATTGTGCGGCGATTTGCATTTTGGAATCGGCGTAATTGAACAGGGCGCCATTTGGTACGTAGTCCCTGATTCGGACTAATATTTGGTCCCAGTTGGGGTATACTTTTTGGTCCAACTTTCTCCAAATTGAAATCCGATTAAACTGTTGGGGTCAGACAGTCAAACTCTACATAATGATATAATTTTCATTATTTATTGACAAACTTTAGAATTTACTTATTTTTGGGTCCTTCTCAGTAATTAATTAATTATAAATTAATTAACTCTCATAGGCCTATTTTTGGGGCGTTACATTTCTCTCCCCCTTAAAATAATTTCGTCCTCGAAATTACCTGAGTCATTGGTTGAAGAGATTCGGATATTGCATCCTCATTGACTCTTCGGTTTCCCATGTTGCCTCTTCAGTCGAGTGATTCCTCCATAGCACTTTGACTAAGGGTACAAATTTGTTTCTCAATTGTTTGACCTCTCGTGCTAAAATTTGTACAGGTTCCTCTTCATAAGTCAATTGTTCGTCAAGAGTTACAATTCCCTCAGTCAAGATATGCGATGGATCGGAACGGTATCTTTTCAACATCGATACATGGAATACGTCATGGATCTTGTTCAATTTGGTGGAAGTTCTAACCGATATGCTACTGGACGCACACGTTCAGTGATTCGATAGGGTCCAATATATCTCGGATTTAGTTTTCCCTTCCTACCGAAATGTAGCACTTTCTTCCACGGTGAGACTTTCAGAAACACCTTGTCATCAACATCATATTCAATCTCCCGACGTTTTAAGTTGGCATAAGATTTCTATCGATCAGAAGCCACCTGCAGTCTTTCTCTGATTAGACGAACCTTCTCTTCAGTTTTGCGAACGAGATCAGGTCCTTCAAGCTTTTGCTCGCTTAATTCTGTCCAGCATACTAGGGTTCTACAGCGTCTCCCATATAAGGCTTCGTACGGGGCCATTTTGATACTCGCTTGATAACTGTTGTTATACGCGAACTCCATTAGCGGTAAGTATTGTTCCCAGTTGCTTCCAAAATTAATTACACACGCTCTCATCATATCTTCAAGAATTTGAATTGTTCTTTCAGATTGCCCGTCAGTTTGAGGATGAAATGCCGTACTCGAGTTAAGTTTAGTACCTAAGGCTTTCTGCAAACTCTTCCAGAATTGTGACGTGAATCGCGGGTCACGATCAGAAATGATAGACAAAGGTACACCATGTAATCTTACAATCTCACAGATGTACAACTCTGCCAACTTCTTCAAGGACATATCGCGTCGAATAGGAATAAAATGAGATGACTTGGTTAATCGATCAACAATTACCCAGACAGCGTCATTTTTCTTAGCTGATAATGGAAGTCCAATCACAAAGTCCATCGTAATTCGTTCCCACTTCCATTCAGGGATAGTAGGTGGATGTAACAACCCACTAGGCACTTGGTGTTCAGCCTTGACTTGTTGACACGTCAGACATCGTGTTGTAAATTCAGAAATTTCCCGCTTCATTGTGGGACACCAATATGTCTTCTTAGATCTTGGA